TCACCCTGTTCAGGAAAATGCTTGGCATTTTTTTGAGTATTTTCGCCAACTGATAATTGTGGAGAATAGATTCAAGACTGGATTCAAGAATGCTAAAATACGTGATTGCATTTGTTTTCTTTACTGTTTGTGGAATGTTCCTGTCCAAATACTGTAAAGTAGGGAGAGCTTGAGGAAAGTTCTCATTAAAAAAAAATCTTTCACCAGACAGTGCAAGGCTTAACAAAACAATTTTCCATACCTTCCAATTACACTTAAAAATCCTGCAGGAAGTAAGGGAAAGGAGTCACCGGAACCAATGTAGAATTACATCAAAGCAAATTGAAAAGGTGATCTGAGGGGAAAAGAGAATCTGAGGATAAAACATCGCTACAAAGACAAAACATAACACTGAAACATTATTTCACTAATACAATAACACAAGAATTGAAAACATTAACAGGTGCAAATTGCCTTGAAACTAAGGATCAGCACAGGAGTGCGAATGGGTACTTCCTCAAAATGTTCACAAAGAAAGATACCCCCTCAAAATAAATCCAAGAAGACAAAATTCAGGACATTTATGTAAATGAAGGCTGCTCGTTCGTAACACAAATATTCTGAATAATGTGGAGCTTATCCCAGAGTCAAGTAGCCAACACCACTTTAAACAGGGAAGCTCTTATCTTACCAAATGTCTTGAGTTTTTTTTGAGGAAGTGAGAATCCAATTCAACTACAAGCAACCCTGTAACATTATGTACTTGTTTATCCAAAAACCATTTGATAACACTCTACTAAAAGAAATTACGGACTACATTCCAAGCTGTGGGGATTTGGTTCAAATCTTCAGCTTGGTACAGATTTGATTAAAGATTAAAAAGCCATGGCAACTGCTTAAAAGAATAACATCAAGTTGAAGGAAGAATTTTGTGAAGTTCCTCAGGGCTGAGCATTTAGTGGACTCAATATTAAATATTTCCTAACCATGCACAGAAAGAACAAACAGAACAAATAGTCTGTTGAGTCAACTATCCAAAACTATAGAATATAAGTCATTGTTTATTCTGAATACAAATTGTGATCAAATTGTACTGTACTCTGGTCGGACCACATCCTGGTTAATGTGTTCATGTTCTGGTCACTGAGCTATGAGGGAGATAGCCAAGTGCCGGTAGCTATGAAGAGAACTGATCCCTTGTGTCAGGTTCTGAGTTATGAGGGGAAAACTGTACAAGCTTGAGCTTTTCTGCTGGAACAGAGCCATGTGAGTCATGATCCTATATCAGTATACAATTCATGTCATGGCTATTCTGGAATACAGCTTTAAATTGATCTGTAGGAGCAAGACAGTGGTCACCAGTTGAAGCTAGTAAAGCGTAACAAGAAAACTGACATGAGAAAGTCTTTCTTCATGCAGTTATGGATTCACAGACATCGTGGTGGAGGAAAACACTCTGAAAGTGTTTAATGAGCTAAGCATAAGAGGGAGGGAGATGTAATGTTTTTCGATGAGTTAATTAACAGGGACTGAACAGCTTTCTGGAAATACAGGCATTGTGTGGTTTTTCTGTATATCACAATTCCTCATTACAACCCATATATAACAAACACTTATATTTTAATGTACTCTAATAGGTCATTGTAACCCGATGACACATTATGCTTTCGATTGTGATAGTTGAATTTGATACAATGTGTCAGTGTTAGAAATACAGATCCTTTTAAGGGCAAAACAGAATAGCTCCCCAATTGATTGGGAGCAGGTGAAACTCACTGGACTTTAAGAGATGGGTTCTCAGGGCTCTTGTGGCACAGTGATAGCATCCCTACCTCTAAGCTCCAGTCCCACCTGCTCCAGAGGTGTGTCATAACATTTCTGAAGAGGTTGACTATGAAAATATCAAGAATTGGCTTCTTGGCTGGCGCGGAGTCCACGGATCATTGGCTGTGGGCAATTGCACACCATTCTTCCTTATTAGAGAAATCTTTTGTTGTGCTTCTGGTTGCACTTCAGCGCCATGCTCCTGGTATTTGTGTATCTGGTGCAGAGGATGTGGGCAGATCAGACGACCTCCTCACGGGTCTGCTCTTGGGCCTGGCCAGGCTGGCTATAAACAGGTCCAGGCATCTGGCTGTGGAGGGGGTCATAGCTGGTGACTATCTGTCCCTCTTCCACAGTTACGTTCATACTCTGCTTTAATTGGAGAGAAAGTACACATCAATGCTCTTGATGCCTTTAGAGAGAGGTGTGTACCACAGGGGTTACAGTGCCTTATTTCCCCATCCAACTCCATTTGACTTAGCCCCCTCCCCCTCTCCTTCACCTTCTGATCGTTTGTTTTGTCCTTAACAAACTTTGCACTTAAATGAATCAATTGGAAATCTCGGGTGATTTACTGATGGTGGTTAATAGGTGAAAATAATAACACAGGGGATTGGGTGATGGAAAATATGCATTCAGTTTTGTGTCTGATAGAACTTCTGGATATAAGTATAGAAAAAAAAAATTAAAACTAATGCTAAAGTAATAGAAACAAAAAAGATAATAATAAAATGGTTCAAAATGTACAATAGTTTTTGAATCATTAGGCAGAATCTTTTTTTTCGCTTAAGCGCAACAAGCTTTTTGGAGTGAAAACATAAATCACTGGAAAAGTTCAGCAAGCCTGGAGGCATCTGTGGAGAGAAAGCAGAGTTAAAATTTTGAGTCCAGTACCCTTCTTCAGAACTGTGCTGAAGTCCATTCTGAAGAAGATGCAGCCATGGAATTGGGCATCAGCTATGACCCCCTCCACAGCCTGTTGCGTGGACCTGTTTATAGTCAACCTGACCAGGCCCAGGAACAGACCCTTGGGCTGAGGTATTCAAGTTGACTAACCTGGGTTGAGTGCAGGTATTGGGGAACATTACAGTTGAAGAACAACACACTAGTAACCCCCATGTTGCAGGGAAAGGACTCTCTTTTGGTCAGAGTGATTGAAGCCAGCTAGCCAGTCAAAAGGAAACAGGATGAAAATATTTCAATGAACCTGCTAAGCCAATAATCTTGAAATTGACTTCTTGCCTATCAAATTTCCAGTGTTTAGTCTTCACAAATGAGCCATTTTTTTAAATTATTCACTTTTCATTTCAATGTTGTGTATATGAGCTTTGCATTACTGATTCTTCTCATGTTGAGCGACTGAAAACCTACTTTTTTTAACTTGAGAAAAACCTAGTTAAATTAACTCTTATTAAAACATAAATTCATTTTGTCTGGGAGAAAGGTATCGACAAGGGGTTCATTATAGGGATGGAATCCTTTTTAAATTAACCTTGTTGCAACCAAACGGATGGGGTGAATACAGACTCCCTCCTCATCCAGGAGCTTGATAAATTGGGTTTTCCCATCTAGAACCTTGATAACTTTGGGAACCTTGCCCAGGGACTGGTCATAACACATCTGGGGTGCTTCCAGAAGCTGGTAGTAATATCTGGGATCTAGGTAGGGGATAGGTCTGGGATCTAAAGTCTGCATCAGGCTTAACTCTGAAAAAAATGCAAGGGACTATTTTTAAATGGGTAAATTGTAGCAGTGTTCTCACTGGCCTGACTATCAGTGACCGGAGGGCACTGATTTTGGGTCATTGTTAAAAGAACCAAAGTGGTCTGTTTTTTTTCTTTTGAGCTGTAATTTGTTACAATCTAGAATGCATTGCTTGAAGGAATGGTGAAAGCAGGTTCAATTGTGGCTTTCAGAACGGAATTGGAATTATATTTGAAAAGGAAAGATTCTCGAGAAAGGGCAAGGGAATAGAAATAATTGGATCGCTCACTCAGAGAGTTAGTACAGACATGGTGGGCTGAATGAGTTTCTGATTCTAATTTGTACACAACATGGAAGCTTGCAATTGAAATTCTTTGGAAAACGTTGACATTTGTTTCCCATAATAGTTGTCCTGTAAGGGGTTTAATTTAGAAAATGTCAGCCCACAAATGTCCAATTCAAAGCAAAACATTGTGGCATTGGAAATAAAAACAGAAAGTGCTGGAGAAATGTAACAGGTCTGGTAGTATCTGTGGTGGGAGAAACAGAGTTAACATTTCAAGTCTGGTATGACTCTATGGAACTGAAGAAGTGAGTTCATACTGGCCTCAAAACATTACCTCTGCTTCTCGCTCCACAGATGCTGCCAGATCTACTGAGTTTCTCCTGCACTTTGTGTCTGTATTATCGCCAATACATGTGTTAATGATACATCGGAAATATTTAATGGTGATCTCTCCTCTGCACAGATGAAGTAAGCAATCATCTTCAATAATTCCTGAGTTCCTTAGGACCAGAGCAAGGCTGGCAACAGGGAAGACAGTGGGTAAAGAGATGATGTCACTGGACCAGCAATCTAGAACCACAGGCTAATGCCCTGCAAGACATGGGTTTGAGTCCCACTGCAGCAGATGGTGAAATTTGAAATCAATGATTAAAAAAAAACAGAATTAAAAAGAAAGGCTAATTTATTGACAACTGTGGCCATCTGTGTAGAGTTTGCACATTCTCCCTGTGTCTGCTTGAGTTTCCTCCACGTGCTCCGGTTTCCCCTCTCAGTCCAAAAATGTGCAGGTTAGGTGGATTGGCCGTGCTAAATTGTCTTGTAGTGTCCAGCGATGTGCAAGCTGGGTGGATTGACCTTGCTTGCTAAATTGCCCCAAAGCATCCAGGGATGTGCAGGTTAGGTGAATGTGCCATAATAAATTGCCTGGTAGTGGCCAGGGATATGCAGGCTAGGTGGATTGGCTTTGCTAAATTGCCCCAAAGCACCCAGCAATGTGCAGGTTAGGTGGATTGGCCACACTAAATTGCCCAATAGTGTCCAGGGATGTGCAGGCTATAGTGTAGCAATGGGAAATACAGGGTTATGGGGAAAGGGTAAGGGGGTGGGTCTGGGCAGGATGCTTTTCAGAGGGTTTGAGAGGATTAGATAGGTCGAATGGCATCTTTCTGCATTGTAGGGATTCTATGATTTAACCACTGTCAACTGGTGTAAAAACCCCATCTGATTCACTAATACCCTTTAGGGGAGGGAACTGCTGTCCTTACCCAGGTTGGTCGACATGTAACTCCAGACTCAGGGCCGTATGCTTGATACCTGCCTGCCCTTGGGCGATTAGGGAGGGCCAATAAATGCCATATATAAACGTTTGCTTTTCTTTAGAAGTGGAAAGAGAACTGATTAGAGTCAGGCTGAGTGCTCGACAGTAAAACCCCCTACCATTTTATTTCGATTTAGTTAAAGCTACTACAGCTCTTTTCAAAATCAGCATTGTGTTGGCCAGTTAATGATACAGGGAGAGGCATCACATTCCGACAGGAGAATGTATAACTTTAGAAGAGAATAACTAGGATACTTCAGGAAGAGTTGAGAGGGAGAGGCAGTCACCGTATCTCACTTATCAGTGTCGGATCTTGCTGCTGAATGGATTGAGAGGGTCGCTTTGATGTTGAAGGTGGTCCCACTGCTGAAAACTCACAGCCATTACACTGCTGTGATTCGCTTTGCAGGAACCAGGAGAGAAAGTGGCGACTTCCTTACAAGGCGTGTGGCTGCGAGCCGAAACCTCGGGACTCCCCTTCAAAGCTGCAACCCTCCCACCAGCGTCTCGGGCTCCGGCGAGGAAGACCTCTCCTCCGCGCAGTTCGACTGTGGGGGGCGTCACCGCCCTATTCCAGCAGCGTTTCTGTCGGGGTGGGGCGTCTTGTGGTCTCGGGGAGGGGCGGGGATTTCACATCCAGTCGCCAGGTAGAGGCTGCGATGTTTTAGGGCAAGGACGTGTAGAGTATCCTCGATGTTTGGCAAAGTGAGAGGCGCCGGGGCCAGTGCGCTGCTCTCGGACCGGGACAGGGCTCCTCTCCAGGCGGCAGCCCCAGAATGTAACGTCGGTGTCCTGGGCTGCCCAGGCTCCGGCAAGTCTGGTAAGAATCATCTTTCTCCGGCTTTCTCTCTCCTTCCCCACTCCAGTACTGCACAAGGGTCACTGGATTCAAAACCTTCACTCTGCCCTCCCTCTCTCTCCGCAGGTGCTGAGTTTCTCCAGCAATTTCTGTTTTTACACTCCACACTTTTGTACCCAGCCTCGGGTGCTGGGTTGGCAGATGCCCATCTCCCACTGCTAACAGGGGGAGCTGGGTTGAGAGAGTTTGGGGTGGTAAACAGGGCATTTAGACCCAGCGACCTGGGATATGCCAGGTGAGAGGTGCAGCCTTTTGGGTGCCAGTGGGATTTAAAGAAAAGCCCTTTGGCATTGTTTGGTCTCCCTCCCAACATTCACCGTTAAACATTAAACACTGGTGTTTTTGTTTCTTTAGCTCTGACTGTGAAATTCCTCACGAAAAGATTCATAAGCGAATACGACCCTAACTTGGGTAAGTAGATTCCTCCCCCCCCCCCCCCCCCATGAATGTTCTATATGTTCGTGTTTAACTTCAGGACAGATTCAGTAGGCTGTATTTGCACGGCAGTGGGTTTGATGATGTTAATTGACTCCTGACTATTCAGCTATTGTTGCCCTGGTTTTGGTTCACTGCAGCTGGAGGATGTCAGTCCAGGGGGAAGATGATCCAATTCGAGCAGAGAGGCAGCTGTGTTCTTTTACATATTTTCCTAACCAACTTATTCACAGATAGTTATGGCATACCTCTGGGGAAGGTGGGGCTTGAACCCCGAGTCTCCTGGTTTAGGGGTGGAGATGCTACCATCGCACCACCAGAACCCTCAGCAGTCCCTTGGACTCCCTGCAAATGTTCCAGTCACCGCACTGAGTGATGCCAAGATCTCCAAGTTTAGCTCCCCACCTTGAGTTGATTTACTAACTTATTTTTAATGTACAGTCTTGTCTGACCAAGCCTCATTTGGGGTAGGTTTGCCATGGGGCATTTGGAAAGGGTTATGGAGGGGAGGTGGTGTGGGAGGGATGCCATGGGAACGGCACAGGGAGAAAGTGAAGGATGGAGATGGCACAGGGTGGGCATTTAAAGAAGTGCAGTCATAGTAAAAGATGCCAATTTCACATCAAACATTTTGTGGGGCTTCGCACAATCATTTATCAGCTTAGTACAGTGGTTGAAGCAAAAAGCATTGAAATAATTTAATCTGCGGTTCGATACATGTATCAGGAGAAAGAGGGGTGCTCTAGGATGGGAGGAGGCAGAAGTGCAGTGGTAGACAAAAGCTGACAATATTTGTGCTGTAGATTCTATCTAAGTGAGCTGAGCGATGTGAGAGGGCACTATCACAAAGCAAGATTCTGGAGATCACCCAATTCAGAGCAGAATCTCTGGTGCAAGACTTTACAAGGTGAGGCTCGGGCCCCCAAATGGGATTGCAAGCTGAAGTTTGGATGTTGCAAGCTCTGAGACAACAATGCTTGCTGTGTGTTAAAGTCAGAAGTCACACAACACCAGGGTATAGTCCAATAGGTTTATTTGAAATCACAAGCTTTTGGAGCGCTATTCCTTCATCAAGTGGAGTCTGTGTGTTATAACAGCTGTACCCTCATTCTAACAGGCACCCCTCCTCTCATAGTTCTCACTGAAAAGTCACAACAATTCCCAAGCCTCAAATTGTGGTCACGGTGGGACAAAGTTTGGGGAGCAGTGCCACAATGCATGAAAAATGCTGCAACTAATCTGGTTACAGCCGATAATTTATCTGTGGTTTTATTCAATTAGTAGAAGGAAGTGTTTTAGATATTCTGCAGTAGTTTACAGTCTGACATATCTCTGCCAATATGAAACAAACACTTCTTTCTGTACTCTGTATAAAGAACAGTTGATGTCGGAACACTTTTCTTGGGGTTTTATAAATGTGTTATTAATTTATTTATTTAGACCACACTTGTGCATCGATGCAAAATTTATAAGAGTAATTCAACCTGTGCATCAATTTTGAATTCTGCTCCTTGTGTATTGTATAATTTAGGAGTGAAAAAAGACTACTCGAGGAAATTATTATTGTGTTTTTGAGAAGCACTTCCAAGCCTTGCTAGTTATAAAGATAGGCTGTTAATCTGTCAACACTTCTCGACAAAACATTTTCAATCCAGATTAAAATGAAGACAAAATGGATTTATGATGTGCCACTCAATATATTTACTCTTCTGTTCTCAATGCATTTTGGTTGATGTGGTGATCCAAGGATCGTTCTATACTGACAATACTGTTCTATTCTAGAGGACACTTACACTACTGAAGAAATTGTGGATCATCAGCCAGTCCTTTTAAAAATAATGGACACAGCTGATCAGGTAATAAAGGTTTTAGCAGTTGAAGAAGGAAGCGTGCAGGCTATTGTATCTGCAATATCCAAACACTCTGACATTTAGTCATTGTTTTACACAGATTCAAGTAATGTAAATCTTCCATTTCCAGAGAAAGTGCTTAGGTATGCAGTTAATGAATGAACCATTGAACTTGTCGAATACCTAGTTTTTACTGGGCTGTTTAATATAAAACTTGTTAACTTGGCTACGAGGCTGTTCCTGTACCCTTTCAGTTGAAGTCCAAATAAATTATACAAGACATGTTTTAAGAGAGTGTAATGTATTAATAGACTATTAAAGTAACAACTTTCTAAGAGCAGTCCATACAGTGCTAGAAATAGAAAATACTTTTTATCCCCTCTACTTCATAAGAGAGATGAAGAGATATATTTTGTATAAGTTCTTCATTGGCAATACATCCCTTCTAATTAGCCTTTTTCATAAAAGACAAACTGTCAATTAAAGTGGGGCAGCACGGTGACTTGGTTATTAACACTACTGCCCCATAACGCCAGGGACCTGGGTTCGATTCCACCCTTGGGCGACTGTCTGTGTGGAGTTTCCTCCCACAGTCCAAAGATGTGCAGGCTAGGTGTATTGGCTATGTTAAATTGCCTATAGTGTCCAGCAATGCGCAGGCTAAGTGGATTAGCCATGGGATATGCAGGGTTACACGGATAGGATAGGGATCGGGTCTGGGTAGGATGCTCTTCAGAGAGTGTGTGGACTCGATGGGCTGAATGGCCTGCTTCTGCACTGTAGTGATTCTATGATTCTAGGTGCCTAATGTGACATATATTTGCTTAGTACAATCAGCAGGCTTTGTTATAACCTGAAGCCACAGCGAATCTTCTAGATATTACACCAATTCCTTTTATATTATAAATGTTTTGAAACTGATAACTTACTGTGGTAATATTCATGACTCTGGTGAGACTTTAAGAAGTACATTAATTTAAACTTTCCTTCGGTTGCTTATTGAATCTGCATCAGATTGCACAGTTCACAATTTCCTACCTTCTTGGGTGACTTCTTTTGCTGTCGTACTTTTACCTGATTAGAATTTTCCTCATCTATTCAAACTGAACTCACATGTTACATTGGAGAAAAATGCAAAATACACTTACATTTTTCTCCCTTTTAATTCATTTTCAACAGTGACTACTCAGAATGCAGGTGCAATTAACTCAGTAATGTTTTTAATTGAAGAATTTTAAAGAACATTGAGAGTGTAACATTTTCTGGTCCTTTTGTTTTTGTAAAATGATGTTCCTTTAGAACTTTTTTTTTTTGGAAAAAAACAGAAATGCCCATAAATGCTATTACCCAAAGCAATCCGTGAAATTTGTAGACCTAAGTTGTTGCTGAGCAAGACAATGTTTGTATTTTTAAACATGATAGAATTGTTTGTGCAGAAATAAAGTTATAGTTACAGTTTTCACTAACAATGGATTGCTTAATTGAACCTAAGAAGAAAAGTGAAAAATACAAATAAAAAAGATGCAAGCTGAGGTAAGACTACGAAGACTGAGATAAGAAACAAAGCAAGTGTTTTTAATAAGGAAGACTGTTTAGCCCAATTCACTGACCTGTCGTCAGATATCTTGCCAGCGAGTATCTACTTCTTAGTACATTATGTACAGATACTCCTAGGTTTCTTTGTTAATGTGATATGTATCAACAGCTGAATAATTATAGGTTCAGAATAGATGCAGTGGAAAATCTGAATGTTGCAATGATATGAAATTTTTTTTTAATCTTTTAACCAACCCAGAGAGTAGCCTAAAACTTGGAATCCCCTGATCACTGCTTATATTAGAACTAAATAATTGCATGTGTGGTATATTTCCTCCTGTATGGCAGAATAAAGTGACAGAATTTTGACATTTTGAATAATTGGTTGCTATATTGTATTGTGCTGTATGAGTGAATATGTGATAAGTGTTACAGCTGGACATAAATTTATGCTTTGTTGTGTGTGTATGTCTGTGTTTGTTCTTAAGTATTTTTCAAACAACTCTTTTTAATTTAGTAATGCACCTGCTACAACTTTATAACACTGAACAATAATTTATGTTAAAAATAGGATAAACCGTTGAACTCTGAACGTTACCTGAACTGGGCAAATGCATTCATTGTCGTCTACAGTATTGATAATAGGAAGAGCTTTGAAGGGTGCGTGCATTATCTAAATGTAATTTCTAGTCATGCCAAAGGACTCCCACATGATTATCCAATTATTCTGCTAGGAAATAAACTGGACATGGAGAGATACCGGTAAGAAGTTTATTCAAAACCCTACTGTAGAAATTTAAAGAGTTTATCCATTCAGCTACCGTTTTCAGTCTATAGAAAAGATTTGACATTTGTAGACTTTTGATAATTAATTTGTACATATCAAAATGTGGTACAAAAGCAGAAGTTACTGGAAAAGCTCAGCAGGTCTTTCGGCATCTGTGACAAAAAGTCTGTTAACGTTTTGGGTCTGGTGACCCTTCCTCAGAACAAAATAGGTGGTGTAGTGGACAGTGATGAAGATTACCTCGGAGTACAATGGGACGTTGATCAGATGGGCCAATGGCCAAGAGGTAGCAGATGGAGTTTAAATAGGTTAAATGTGAGGTGTTGTATTTTGGTAAGGTAAACAGGGCAGGACTCTTTCAGTTAATGGTAAAGAGTCCTATTGGCGCATGTGCATAGTTTCGAGAAAGTCGAGTTGCAGGTGGAGAGGGTGGTGAAGAAGGCATTTGGCATGCATGCCTTCATTGGTCAGAAATTTGAGATTAGGAGTTAAGATGTTATCTTGTGTCTCTACAAGACATTAGTGTGGCCACTTTTATAATACTGCATCCAGTTCTGGCCACCCCTGTATAAGAAGGACATTGTTAAACTTGAGAGGGTGCAGAAAAGATTTCCAAGGATGTTGCCTGGACGGAGGGTTTGAGCTATAGGGAGAGTCTGAATAGGCTGGGGCTGTTTTCCCTGGAGTGTTGGAGGCTTATAAAATCATGAGGGGCATGGAGGGGGTGAATAGCAAAGATCTTTTTCCAAGGATGGGGAAGTCCAAAACTAGAGGGCACAGATTTAAGGTGAGAGGGGAAGTTCTAAAAAGGACCTGAGGGGTAGTTTCTTCATGCAGAGGATGGTGCATATATGGAACGAGCTGCTATTGGAAAAGGTGAAGGCAGGTATAATTACAACATTTAAAAGGCACCTGGATGGGTATATAAATAAGAAGGGTTTATGGGCCAAATGCTGGCAAATGGGACTACGTCAGTTTGGGATGTCTGGTTGCTGAGGATGAGTTAGACCGAAGGGCCTGTTTCCATGCTGTATGACTCTTAAATATAGGAACAGGAGTAGCCTACAAAGCTCTCAAGTTTGTACCATGGTTCAATTAGATCATGGCTAATCTTTGTCCAAATTCAATGAACCCACCTTGCATTCCTATTTCTGGTGCGCTTGTGCTACCTACATCACAGAAAGCTCCTCCATCGAAATGTGCAGTTTTGCTTTTCTGTTGTGGCATGGTTATGAACCAATGTGGTTAATGTGTAATGCTGAAGATATAACCCTACATCGCCCCACTTTATAGAGCTGTGTATTGGACCACTGTGTTACACTAATTACACTGGTTCCTAATTATATAGTTTGAAACAGCTCTGATAAGTGATTCATTCTTTTAATGAGATTTGAATTTGAGTCTTAAGACATATTCTTTATTTATGTCAGAGATAGTAGGAACTGCAAATGCTGGAGAATCCAAGACAACAAGGTGCAGGGCTGGATGAACACAGCAGGCCAAGCAGCATCATAGGAGCAGAAAGCCTGACGTTTCGGGCCTAGACCCTTCATCAGGGAAGGGGTTACTGAAATAAATAAGGAGAGAGTGGGAGGCGAATAGAAGAGGGATAGAGGAGAGGATAGGTGGAGAGGAAACAAACAGGTCGAAGAGGCGGGGATGGGGCCAGTAAAGGTGAGTGTAGGTGGGGAGTTAGGGAGGGGATAGGTCAGTCCAGGGAGGACGGACAGGTCAAGGGGGCGGGATGAGGTTAGTCGGTAGGAGATGGGGGTGCGGCTTGAGGTGGGAGGAAGAACAGGTTAGGGAGGCGGGGACGAGCTGGACTGGTTTTGGGATGCGGTAGAGGGAGGGGAGATTTTGAAGCTTGTGAAATCCACATTGATACCATTGGGCTGCAGGGTTCCCAAGCGGAATATGGGCCTCCTGCAGTGCCACAACGACGCCACCCGAAGGTTGTAGGAACAGCAACTCGTATTCCGCTGGGGAACCCTGCAGCCCAATGGTATCAATGTGGATTTCACAAGCTTCAAAATCTCCCCTCCCCCTACCGCATCCCAAAACCAGTCCAGCTCGTCCCTGCCTCCCTAACCTGTTCTTCCTCCCACCTATCCCCTCCTCCCACCTCAAGCTGCACCCCCATCTCCTACCGACTAACCTCATCCCGCCCCATTGACCTGTCCGTCCTCCCTGGACTGACCTATCCCCTCCCTAACTCCCCACCTACACTCACCTTTTACTGGCCCCATCCCCGCCTCTTTGACCTGTTTGTTTCCCCTCCACCTATCCTCTCCTCTATCCATCTTCTATCCGCCTCCCACTCTCTCCCTATTTATTTCAGAACCCCCTTCCCCTCCCCCTTTTCTGATGAAGGGTCTAGGCCCGAAACGTCAGGCTTTCTGCTCCTATGATGCTGCTTGGCCTGCTGTGTTCATCCAGCCCTGCACTTTCTTTATTTATGTTACAAGTTTGGAAAGAGCTGCTGTTTTCATTCAGCAGAAAATAAAAAAATTTGAATTTGAAATACTCTGTTATAAGGCAAGCCTTGTGTTATGTTTTTTGCAGATGGCAAAAAAATTGTCAGCCTATGTTTTGACATTAAATATCTGTAGCATATTTTATTAGAAGCTATCAAAGTATGGCAGAGTTCTTGAAAGTAAAACACAGTATAAATTTATTTCAAGTCATCTACGTTCCAAGATCCATAATTCAGACAATGTTAACAACTCAAAATATTTCAGGTATTTGCCATATATTAACCGTGAGTATTAGCATAATTTGAAACAAAAATCTATTTTCTGTTTTAAGGCAGGTAAGCAAGTCTGATGGACTGTCACTGGCATCCAAATATAACTCTTCATTTTATGAAGTATCTGCCTGTTTGGACTTTGAGTCAGTGCAGCACGTGTTCCACGAATTGATTCGTGAGGTGAGGCGAGAGACTGAACGTCACCTTCCGGTCAGACCTCTCTTTATTTCCGAGGAAAAGCCTGTGTTGGGTACAGCCCACCCACCTGCCTTTGCCCATGCTGTTAAGCACCATGCACCTATATTTGGAACACAGCGTCTGTCCACTGCCACCTATAAGGAAATTCCCACCATCACTTCAGCTAAGCTGGTCACTGTAAAGTCAGCAAGGGCACAAAGCAAGCGAAGAACTCCCACGCTGACCTTACTTAAAGGATTTAAAATATTTTAATGCACTACTCACCGCTCTGAATACCAAAGTTCAATGTATCTCTTTAATCTAGTTAGATCCACAATTACTTTCTCTGGCTAGTGACTGTGGAATTAAAACTGTCACAAAACTTTGATTATAATTCAAACCAACTAAACACTAAGGACCTCATCTGTGATCAGTGTGACCTTTGCTAATCCTATGTGGATATAAGATCGAGTACATAGACCATCAGCTGTTGCAGATGACAACCCATGTCTATCTACCGTTGTCGACTGTCAACTGTAACCTCTTCTTTTAAGAATTAAATGACAGATGGAAATCTACTTGTTGCAGTGTCCACAGTCAAGGAAGGGGGAAAATAAAAATATCTGCTCAGTAACCTGAACTATCACCATATGATAATATCACCTCCATTACATCGAAGATGACAATTTAAGCATTCTTTTACAGCTCATTTCCCAGGTTAAAAATAATCTAAAACAAGTATTTTAGGAGCTAAAGAAGAAGAACCATCATTCAAAATGCTGTTTGTGCTTCAGTTGTTTGATTTAAAAAGTGTTCACTAGATTTTACATATTTGATAATGAAGAGGAATGCACAGAGACTCAAATGTGCACATGTAATGCTTTCTGTAATCTTTTATCTGTCTGGTTATATGATGTTTGTTTCAGATGATAAAATGCAGCATTTAAGAAAGAGGTTTGTGCAGTTAAATGGTGGCATTCCTTGTTCTGTAGATCCAGCTCAACTCCATTTCCTTCTTTTGAACCTTGCTACCACCCATATATTGTTGCCAAGCAAACTGAATCTGGGCAATCACAAACTTTCCACTGGGCATGTATTTATAAACTGATGTCTCACTATGGGCTGCATTACTTTGTGATAAAGTTAACCATCACAAGGTTGGCCAGCATGTAAAAACAGAAACATTCGGACTGGTGCTTGGAATGTACTGAGTTTGGAGTTAGATGACTTTACTTAGAATCTGACCGTGCTCTCCTTAGACTGTTGTTGCTAACTGTGAGGATTGTAAAAAAGGACAGCTTTCCTGATATTTATGACCAGACAACTGCAGAAAATTAACCAATCAATGTACATTAGAATCCAAACACCATTGACCAGTTTGTGCTATGGTTGTACAACTTTCTGCATAACCCCAGATATATTTTATCCATGTCTCATCAGTGAAAATGCATCATAATTTCTTTATATTTGAATACAGTATATTTACTACCTATTTGCAGGAGAAAACATTTATTGGATTATAGGATTCCAAAGCATTTTGATTTGTTGATAATGTCCAATTAATAAACATCCAAAGCAGTGGTATCTCTTTTGTTTGCTTTTTTCCACATGCATTTATCACTCTCTCTCTTGTAAGTATCCCCTGAACTGTGGACACTTCCTCAGCCAATCTAGCAGCTCATGTGAGGAAATGCCAATAGCCCGTGTTCAATGGTAAAAAGGTCAAAGTCATCCCAGCATAGGAGGCGGCTGTTCGGTCCATCCTGTTTTTCCATTGTATCCCTATAGTACAAAAGGGTTATTTCCCTCAAGTGACAATCCATGTTTTTTTTTTTTTTTTTGAAATCATTGGTCATTCTCTATTTCCACCAACCTTGTCGGTGGAGAGTTTCAGGCCATTGCTTCTCACTAACCCTATCGCAAAAAAAATGTTATCCTCTCAAAACCTTTCCTCTCCCTTTTCCTTACCAAAATGTTAAATTTGTGTTCCCTAGTTCTTGTATGGTCAGCTGAGGGCAAGCCCTTTTCTTTGTCTACCTTACCTAAATCGACCATGAGTCTGTATTCACTTGCTCTTCCCAAGTTCTCCAACCCAGCTAAAATTATCAACCCTGAAACCATTTTGGAAGATCTTCTCCACATCCTCTCAAAGACCCTTGCATCCTTCCGAAAGTGTAGTGACTAAGACTGAATGCAACAATCTAGCTAATAATCTAGTCTAACCAAAGCTTCTCTGGGCTAAATGCTGGCAAATGGGACTCTAATAATTTAGGATATCTTTTCGGCATGGCCAAGTTGGACCAAAGGGTCTGTTTCTGTTCTGTACAACTCTCTGACTGTACTGAGTACCTCTAATTGCATGTTCCCATAGAACTGAATCTGGGCAATCACAAACTTTAGTTACAAAGTCCTGGATGTGTCACTTACTATTCTCTCAATGGTGTGATCCACCTCAGAGGATCCAGGCACATGAATTCCCAGGTCCTTCTGTCACTGCATACTCTTTAAGATGAATTTTCTCTATAGGGCATGAAACAGGAGTAAGAATTGGATTTTCTGAGTGTGGAAAGAGTCAGATTCTTAGATTTGTCTGGGATGGCTCATAATTATTTTAAAAATTCATTCCCTGTGTGGGTGTCACTAGGTAGGCCAGCATTTGTTATATCCCAAATTGCCCACCACATTGCAGTGGGCCTGGAGTCACATGTAGGCCAGACCAGGTAAGGATGGCAGATTCCTTCCGTAAAGGATATTAGTGAACTAGTAGATGGTTTCATGGTCATCAGTGGACTCTTAATTCCAGATTTTTAGCAGGATTTGCACCCAGATCCCCAGAGCATTGCCTCCCTGTCTGGATTAATAGTCTAGTGATTAGATCATCACCTCCCCATTGCCATGGAGACTGCTTTAATGTCTAATCAAGCATGGCGGTTGGGGGAGTAGGGGCAGAGCTCCTTCACAAGGCAGCCTGTTGCTATATCTGCAACCGTTTAGAATTGTAGGACCCTGACAGTGCAGATGGAGGCCATTCAGTCCATCAAGTCTGCACCCACCCTCCAGACAGTATCCCGTTCAGACCCAGCCTCCGCTCCATCCCGTAGCCCTGCTTTTCCCATGGCTAATCCAACTAGCCTGCACACTACAGAGAAATTTCCTACAGCCAATGCACTTAACCCGCACATCTTTGGACTGTGGGAGGAAGCCAGAGTACCCAGCAATAACTACACAGACATGAGGAGAACATGCAAACGCCACAGAGACAGTCACCCAAGGCTGGAATCGAACCTAGGACCCTCACACTGTAAGGCAGCACCTCTAACCACTGAGCCACCATAAGGATTTAGACAAGGATGACTTCTGGGCCTGCCTGGAGAGCCCAATACCTGGCCTGTCACTGGGTGCCCATGTCCACACAATTAAAGTACCACCCAACACCTGGAAACTGGACATCAACTGCTGCACTCCAGTAGACTTTACCAAGGCTCTGACTGAGACTAATTGGCTGCCTGCCTCTTCAGGTGTAGGTAGTGCCTGTTGTAGAACCCTTGCCACCACAGCAGAAATGGCTAGTGTCAGGGAACTGGGATGCCCAGTCACACAGAACTTGATCAGGGACCAGACTCCTCTGTCCCCAACCTCAATCCTGCTTGGAAGTGTGTTGATGGTTTTGAGCTTGATTCCTGGTGTAGGGCCTCAAACCCAGAACCTTCTGACTGGGAGGCAACTGAATCACTGCTGACATGTAGTCTCAAGAGGGCTTGGCCCAGGCAGTAATGGGAAAACTAGTGCTAGCTTCAGCGTCATGCATGAAGGAAGTTGGTGGAGAGGATGAGGGGAACTTGAGTTCCTACACATGATTGCCCAGCCTGTCACCCTCCTGTAAATATGTCCATGTTGGAAGAAGAGGCTTTGGAAGATAAAAGTAAGTGTGGGGAAATCTCTCAGTATTTCTAGTAAAAGTGAAGTTATTGATTTTTATAATGGTTAGCACCATGACCTTGGAACATTACCAAAGAGCAAATGTTTTCATTTGACCAAATGCTAGGAGTCTGCTGTAGCTCACTAGGTGGCAGCCTATTCCACTATGAAGAATACTGATGCTGCTTTCTCACCACATTGATTGCAACATTGCATTATTTGCAACATTGGTTCCAACTAGCCAGTAGGCCATTTATATCACACAGGCGTGAGCTCCTTGCAATTAATGGATACATGGTTAAATAGTACTCTATCTCCTAGTGGCTAAATTTAAGGCATCAAAATTCCTGAATCAGGGAAGGGTGGGAAAGGAGAAGAACTATATGAATTCGGGTTGGAATTCAGCTAGAATCCCCCTCAAATTCTAGTGGGAGAAGAAGACAAGCCTGCATTTGTTAGGGGCACTGCTCCAGAGCACACCTCAAATTCTACCTTCACCCTCCTTACAAATTAGCTACAAATTTTCAGTCACTGAAAACTAATCTGAGGTGCTGTTGAAGCCTTTGTAAAGACATTAGCGGGTTCTTGGGGAAAAAAGTTAACCTTGGAGAGAGTCGATCACTTTAAAGTATCAAGAAATTGCTCCCACTGGGATCTTTGCAGTGTAGAAAGAGGCAATGCAGCCTGTACTGACTCTTGGAGGGATATCCCTCCCAGGCCCACACCCCCATGAGCCTCCACATCCCTGAACACTACAGGCAACTTAGCACAGCCAATCCACCTAACCTGCACATCTTTGGACTGTGGGAGGAAACTGAAACACCCAGACACGGGGAGAACGTGCAAATTCCACACAGACAGTCACCTGAGGCCGGGATCAAACCCGGGTCCCTGGTGCTTTGAGGCAGCAGTGCTAACCACTGTGACACTGTGCTGCCCATGCATTACATTAATATAAATGAGGGACCTGATAAGAGACCCTCTGAATTAACCTCACATATACAAATGCTCTGCTTTATCTAAATGATTGCAACCCTGAGATTTGGAATGGTTAGATTTTGATGGACAATAAATACTGAATGAGCCAGCAAATCCCACACCCCCTCAATGAATTTTAAAGATCTAATCAAAGCTATCATTTTTCCTTTATTCTTGTATGGTATGTAGGTGCCACAGACAAGGCCAGCATTTGTTTCCCATCCCCTATTCCCCCTGAACTAATTGGCTTTTTAGGCCATTTCAGAAGACAGTTAAGAGTCAACCACATTGCTGTGGGGCTGGAATCATTTGTAAAGATGTCATATTTCCTTCTCAAAAAGGATCTTAATGAACCAGTTGGGTTTTACAATAATGGTTACATGGTCATCATTCTAGCATTTAATTCCAGATTTTATTGACTTCAAATTCCACCATCTAACACAGTAGGATTCAAACCCAAGTCCCCAGAATATTGACACCCAGGGTTCCAAAGAGTATTCAGACTTGAAATATAACTGAATCTCTCTCTACAAATGTTGCCAGACATGCTTAGTTTCTGTGGAATGTTCTGTTTATTCCCTAGAACATTAGGATGGGTCTCCGGATTGTTAGTCCAGTAATAATACCATTAACCCATCACTGTTACAGAAATGAAACAGTTTCTTCCTGAATCTGATGAACAGCTCAAGCAGAAGTACACCTAGCTCTTTGTTGTGTTATACAAATAAACTTTTTGATAAATGTTCATTTAAATCAAAAATGGCATTTTTTTTTCTATTGTAAACAGAACATTATGCAGAAGGTTTGCTAAGTAAATAGCAAATATAAAGAAGAAAATGATGTGGCAGATATAAACATACTTGTTTTTTAAATAAAATGTTGCAAATGCTGAAGACCTGAGATAAGAGCAAACAATATTGGAGAAATTCAGCAGGTCTTGCAGTATCTGTTGAGAGCGAAAAAGCATTAACACTTCGAGTTCTTTGCATTCCAATGAGAGTCACATTGGACTTGAAATGTTAACTCTGTTAACTTTCCACAGTTGCTGCCAGATCTGCTGACTTCCTCTAGAACTTCCTGCTTTTTAAAGTTGTCTTAAAATAATACTGTTCAGGTACTTAATTCAGGTAGTTATTTCTGCTCCTATAAAGGTACATATTTTAGGTACATTTCAGAATGAGGCTCTGTGAATTCTGTGACAATTTCTGATCAGTTAGAAACTGTTAGCATAAATTGACTATGTGGCATTACCTAGCTTATAATAAAATATCTGCCACAGCTGCTTCTAGAGCAGCCTGTGAGGTGGTATAAAGTGTCACAGCCAGACTGGAGTTTCTTTACCAAATATTCAGAAGCTGCTCCATGGACAAAGGCTGAAAGTAGCAAGATTTTATAGAGTTATAGAGCACAGAACAGGCCTTATGATCCAATCAGTCCACACTGACCATAATCCCAAACTAAACTGGTCCCACCTGTCTGCATGTGGCCCATATCCCACCAAATATTTCTTGTCATGTACTTATGTCTTTTAAACGTTGTAATTATACCCGCATCCACCACTTCCTCTGGAAGTTCATTCCACACGCGAACCACCCTCTGAAAAAAAAGTGCCATCCATGTCTTTTTTAAATCTCTCTCTCTCCTCTCACCTTAAAAATATGCCCCCTAGTCTTGAAATTCCCCACCTTAGGGAACAGACACCTGGCCAGTCACCCCTCATGATTTTATAAACCTCTATAAGGTCACCTCTTAATCTCCTACACTCCAGTGAGAAAAATCCCAGCCTATCCAGCCTCTCATTATAACTCATACCTTCCATTCCTGGTGACATGCTAGTAAATCTTTTCTGAACTTTTGCAGCATGGAAACTATGTGCCACATATAGGAAAGACAGATAAAATATTTTCTTCTGTGTTCAGAAACGTTTTGGAAAATAGCACAAACTTACAAAAAATAAATTCTTCAATTTTCTGCACAGATGAAACTCACACCTTTAATATCTTTTAAACCGGAAAGATGAGAAACACTTTGCGCTAAAACTTCTCCTTCCAATGTTTTCCATTAGCTAAAATTATTTATGTTGTTGGATAATGTTCTTTCATTCACATAATAAATCATTTCTTTATATATGTTATGCTAGTCAGAGTTCAGGTACCCATGGAATGATAAATAAGTCAGAATTTGCTGGAATTGATAGGACATTCGATGGATTATTTTTCCAATTCAAATACCTTTTGCATCATAACTTGCTGGAAGCCTGAGCTGATAACAGCATGGAGAGGTCAAGGGGTGCTGCTGGAACCTTGGCATATACAAGGAGGAGCAGACTTGCCTCCTTAATGAGATTTGGAAAGGCACTGACAAAGAGTAAAATAATGTGGATCATTTCTCTTCTTCGATTCTCTGCCCAAGGGCAGGTGATTGACGATGTTCTAACTGTGGCGAAGTGCTGTGACTGTACCATAGGAAGGCAGGAGGCAGGCCCTGCGTTTTCCTCAGTCAGAACTGGGAGTATTTAGCTCAATCACACATTAACTGTTTAGCTGACTGAGCATACCGGCCTCTTAACATGAAGTAAATTCAGGTAAAGAATGACCAATGGTTTGAAGTAAATAAGTGTTATATTAAGCAGTTGCAAAGGGACATAGAGGAAAATAAGAGAATTAAATATGGAAATTTTTAAAAGCTCTAACATACAGAAATCAAGTCCGTAAGATATAGGAGCAGGACTAGGCCATTCAGCCCATCAGAACTGCTTCACCATTTGATCACTTCTGATGTTTCTCAATCCCATTGTCTTGCCTTCTGCCTGTAACCTTTGATCCCCTTACTAATCAAGAACCTATCTATCTCTGTCTTAAATATACTCTGACTTGGTCTCCACACCCTCCTGTGGATCTAAAGGTCGTGCCTTCATTCTGAGGCTGTGCCCTCGGATGCTAGTCTTTCCTACTAGTGGAAACATCTTCTCCATGTCCATTCTATCCAGGCCTCTCAGTATTCTGTAAGTTTCAATCAGAGCCCCCCTCATCCTTCTAAACGCCATCAAATGCAGACCCATAGTCATCAACCGCTCCTCATATGACAAGCCCTAAATACCCACGATTATTCTTGCGAACAAAAACAGAAGTTGCTGGAAAAGCTCAGCAGGTCTGCCAGCACCTGTGAAGAAAAAAATCAGAGTTAACGTTTCAGGTCCAGTGACCCTTCTGTTTTTGTTCCTGATTTACAGATTCCACAGTTCTTTCGGTTTTTGTCATTCTTGTGAACCTCCTCTGGACTCCCTCCAGGATCAGCATATTGTTTCTTAGATATGGGGCTCAAAACTGCTCAAAATATTCCAAATGTGTTCTGATCAGAGCATTATACAGCCTCAGCAGTTACATCCCTGCTCTTTATTCTATCCCTCTAGAAATGAATGCTAACATTGCATTTGCTGTCCTAACTGCCAACTGAGCCTGTATGTTAACTTTCAGAGAATCCTGAACCAGGATTCCTCAGTCCCTTTGTGCTTCAGCTTTCTGAGGCTTTTCCCCATTTAGAAAATAGTCTGTGCCTCTATTCTTCCTACCAAAGTGCATAACCTCACATTTTCCCACACGTATTCCATCTGCCACTTCTTTGACCACTCTCCTAGCCTGTCCATGTCCTTCTGCAGCCTCCCCCACTTCCTCAACACTGTCTGTCCCTCCACCTATGTTGGTGTCATATTGTGTGAATTGCAGGAATGAGATTGCAAATTTTAAATTGTTCCTATTTCTGTTACCCAGAAAAAAAAAGTAGACTTACATTGTACTAACAGTTATCACATTATTTAAAAGGTATTCACAATCTCAATGACCAGAATTAGGCTGCTGGAGTGTATTCAATGGAAAATTAATGTGAAATCTAGCCAGCTCCTTAAAATCAATGGGAAGGTTAAGGGTCAGATGATCCGTGTGCAAAGTAGAAACAAAGTAATGTAAATCAACCAACACAATCCTGGAGATTCCCAACTCCCAGCGTATCTCTTAATCCCTGGAATTTGCTGGTCGATTTGCACATTAGATTGCACAAGCATTGTTTTCCATAAAATTTCAGTCTACTTTAAGTTGTGGCCACCCAGAGTTAGACAGGTTAGTGGAGACAGGCTGCCTGGAGTAAGCATACTCTCTGATACAGGCCAGACACAGATCATCTGGGAAGAATCTGTTAATGGAGACTGTTACAATTGAAGCCTCTGCCCAGTCTCACTCATTCAAACTGGAAGAATGTTATTGAGGCAGGCTACTTACAAATCAGGAAACAGATTTGTAAATGTTATAAACTGTTTAAATGGATATAATGTTGGTGATGAATTATACATTGTAAAAATAAACCTCTTAAGGCAAAAGGGATAATCTCTCTTCTCTACGTACAGCAAGTCAGCAGACATGGGTTAAATGTCTCAGTGGGAAACACCTTGATTAATTACTTAGTGGTTACAGCACAGATACAGGCTATTTGTATGCTAGCATTTAGTTTCACACTGGCAATGTCTTCATCTAACATATCAGTATATCCATGTATTCTGTTCTTCCTTATGTGCTAATCTATCTGCTCCCAGAAGTGTATTCATTTCAACTATTTCTTTTGGTACTGAACTCCACCTAGTTACTACTCTTTGGATGAGGAGGTTTTCACTAATTCGCTGTTGGATTTATTAGAGACCTCTTTACATTTGTGGCCTCGGGTCTGGTCTTCCCAGTGAGTGGATGCATTTTCTCTGTCTACCCAATCAAAACTTTTAACAATCTTAATGTGAAACCCTAAGGTTTAGTATGAGTTTAACATAACTTCTACCTTTATTAGTCCTATACTTCTAGAATTGAACTACTAAATTTTAAGACCTTATTAATCTGCATCACTACTTTTAATGGTTTATATATCTGTTTGTCTAATTTTCTTTACCTCTCCATCCCATTTAACCTCTTCTTTACCAAGCAGTAAGTAGCTTCTTTATCTGTCCACCAAATCTTAATACCTCACACTTATCTACGTTGGAATTCGTTTGCCAATATTATATATACGTTTGTGGCTGATCACAGTTCTCCTAAAACATTAAGCTGTGTCCCCTAATTCGTAGTCATCATAAATTTTGAAATTGTACTTCTGAAACCCGCGTCGATAATGTTTACATAAATTTGAAGCATTGTGGTCCCAGCACTGTTCTTTCTGGAGTACCAGTTCCCACTTCCGACAAGTCTAAGTCGCTATCCTTGACCTCCCACTCATTTGTTTTCTAATCTTTTGCCAGCTTCCTCTACAATTGGATTTTTTTATTTGCCAAAAATATTTTACAAAAATTAATTCTTTTAATCTTAAAAATACAATTGAGGGCTCAGTCCTGTAACTTGAGGTTCTATACATCATCTTCTTTTGCATCCATGAAAAGGGAACTTATGTTTCCATCCTTCCACTCGATCATGATCTCTCCTGGTTTGGATGAGATTTTTGGGGATGAATTCTGTGACGTCTGTTCAAAGGAAATATGGGCTTGCTTGGTGTGTAGCATCTGGTCAGTCTCTGCAGAGCTGTCATTCTCATCTGTGTATTGTGCTACTGTCTTTTGCACTGGATCGCTTTCTGTTGCACGCCTGTTCTTTAATTCATTCACTTCCTTCATCTTTTTCTTCCTACATTATGAAAGGGATAAGGGAGACTGATAAATCTGATTCAAGCATAGAAAAACAAGAAAAAACATTCAACCTTAATTTCTCCATTAATAATAACGTATATTTTGACAGTACTGAAACCTCCCAAAGTATTTCACCAGCACATTATAAAACATTATGCTTAGCCACAAAAGGGGATAATATATCAGATGACCAAAAGGTTTTAGGATACATCTTAGAGGAGGAAAGGGAGGAGATAGAGAAACGTAAAGGTGTAGGGAGGGAGGTATATGCCAGACCTTAGGGTCTGGGTAACTAAAGGCACAGCAGGCAACAGTGGAGCAATGACAACAGGGGATATGCACGAGGCCAGAGTTAGAGGAGGATATCTCATAGCATTGTGGGTTTGGAGGAGATTAGAGAAATTGGGAGAGCCAAGCCTATAGGCTATAAGCCTATTTGAAAACAATGATGAGAGTTTTAAATTAAGATGTTGCTTCACCAGGAGCCAATGTTGGTCAGTGAGAACAGGAGTTATAGGAGAAAGGTGCTCACTGTGTTCATGTCCAGGCAGCTGAGCTATGGATGGCTCTGGAGTTTACAGAAGGTAGAATGTGAGAGACCAGCCAGGAGTGTGTCAAAATAGTTAAGTCTAGAGGTGATGGAAACATGAGTGATGGTTTTCAGCAGCAGGTGAACTGACACAAGACTGAAGTCGGGCAATATAATGTAGGTGGAGATAGGCAGTCTTAGTGATAGCACAAAGAGAAGGTTGGAAGTTCATCTCAGGATTAAATGTGAAATTAACTGTGCAACAGCCTGGCTTAACCTTAGACTGCTGAGGTCTTTTCCCCAGGGCAGCAGAGTCCAAAACTACAGGGCATAGGTTTAAGGTGAGGGGGGAAAGATTTAAAAGGGACCTAAGGGGCAACATTTTCACACAGAGGGTTGTGCCTTAATGGAATGAGCTGCCAGAGGAAGTAGTGGGGGCTGGTACAATTACAACATTTAAAAGGCATCTGGATGGGTACATGGATAGGGAGGGATATGGGCCACGAATAGGGAGGGATATGGGCCAAATACTGACAAATGGAACTAGATTTATTCAGGATATCTGGTCAGTATGGACAAGTTGGACTGAAGAATCTGTTTCTGTGCTGTACATTTCTATTACTCAATGTTGTTGGGTAGATGGATGGAATCAGTAGTAAGTCCAATAGAAACAGGATGTGGAGATGCTGGTGTTGGCCTGTGGTGGACAAGGTCAGAAATCACATGTCACAGATTTAATCTCTATATTGTCAACTTGGAACCAAACACCTCTCTACTTTCACTTCACACACTGTCCATCCCTAACATCAAATAATTGGGATACTCCAAGAAAATGTCAGAAGATGCTGTTGTTCTTTAGCCTTCACAAGAACTGACTGAGAATACATCAGAGAGGAGCATTAAGGATGGTAAATTAAAAAGGCAAGATTAATCTGGAGCACAACCTCAAGTCTTGCCAAAATACCAGATCAAAAAGTACAGGTTAAACTGGTGAAAGGAAAGTTTAGTACAAATGTAAGGGAGAATTTCTTCACACAAAAAAGTGAATGGCATTTTGACTGCTCTTCCCATGAGGGGAATGACAAAAAGAATAAGTCAAGGGTTCTTTACACAATATGATGGGAGCACCACAGTTTCTAACATGCTGACTGGGTGAACCAAAATAGCCCAAATATTCTTGCCCACTCACCTGCTTCAACTGAGTCTACATCCACTTTACCAGAAAAATAAGTTATCTATCTTCAATCCTGTTAAGCTTTTAATTGTCATTGCCTGGTTCACTTTTCCCTTTTGCACGTAAAGTACTTAATCCACCTTATGGAGTCCCCTGAAACTAAGGCCTTGTTCATAATTTATACTTAAAACCTCTAGGCACTTTTGTGAATTAATTTTTAATCCTGTGCTCCTCTCATCCTGTTCTCTAGAGAATCTCTGGTGTTAATTGCTCCACCATTGGCTGCTCCACTGTCATTGCATTGGCCTTAAATTCTAGAAACCCCTGCCTAAATTCTTCCCTTTCCCCTTTAATAATACATGAAAGAGAAGAGAAATCATTAGGCATTTTACTGGTGAGCCTGCGTAATAGAAGCTGGTGACACTGAACATGCATATTCCATTGTAAGATTATTTATAATGCACAATCTGCAGAATGAACATGATCTTTCAGTTATCAATATATTTTACTAAAATAAAAAGATATGTTGGGAAAGTTCTACAAAACATCAAACAATACATTTGGAAGGAAACAGCAAGGTCTGACTTACTTGTTTGTCCTGGAGCATAGGACCAGAATGAGAAATCCCAGGAACAGTGCAATGAATGCAAGCACCAACATAGCATAGTTCCAGTTAGTGGCTGCAAGAGATAGAGGAATTTCAATCAAAATATACAAGCATAGCTGGTAATCCACTCAGTGGAATCAACACATATTGGCTTGTGGTATCAGCAGACAAAACAACTTTGAAAGGCTCATTCTGACATTTCTAGCCATAAGCCTTTAGTGTAGTGCCTTGGCTAGACAGTCTGGAATGTAAGGTCATAGTTTCAGAATAAGGGGTTCACCATTTTGGACTGAGATGAGGGGGAAAAAAGAATAGGCAAAACTCAAAGGACTATGAATCTTTGGAATTCTGTATCCTGCATTGCTTGGCACTTGGCCTTACTGCAATTGATGGGTTCTTGGATACTTTGGGAATCAATGGATATGGGGAGTCAGTTTGGAAAATGATGCTGAGGTTGAAGATTAGTCATTGTCTTATTGAATGGCAGAGTAGGCTTGAGGGGCCATTTGGTCCACTCCAGGTGCTAGTTCTCTTGTTCTTATAATAATCACGCAACCAAGCACTGCCCTTTCCAGTCAGTAAATCGAAGAAAGAACAATAGACTACATGAAGAGGCCTTTCAGCCCACCAAGCCTGTGCCGATTCACCATCCTTATTTAGACTTGCTATTTATTGCCCATATGCAGTTTCTATCCCTCTGTTAGCCTCCCATTCATGTGACTATCAAGACACACCTTAAACGTTGCTAACATACCAGCTACCACCACCTCCACTGGCAGTGCTGTCCAAGCACCCACCACCCACTGTGTGAAAATTTTTCCCCGCACTTCTCCCCTGAACATTCCCCCTCTCACCTGTGCCCTCTTATAGTTGACCTGTCCACCCTGGGAAAAAGCCTCTGACTATCCACCCTATCTATGCCTCTCATAATGTTGTAGACCTCTATCAGGTCGTCCCTCAGCCTCTGTCTATCCAGTGAAAACAATCCAAGTTTATCCAACCTCTCCTCATAACTAAAACCCTCCAGACCAGGCAACATCCTGGGAATCCTTCTCTGCATCCTGTCCAAAGCATCCACATTCTTGTGGTAACCAGAACAGCTTGCAATATTCCAAATGTGGCCCAACTAAAGTTTTATACAGCTGTAACATAACTCGCCAACTTTTATATTCGATGTCCTGGCTGATGAAGGCTATCGAGCTGTATGCTTTATTAACTACCTACAGGGATATGTGGACCTGTACACCCAGATCCCTCTGTATGTCAATGTTGATCAGCATTCTGCCTTTTATTGTATAATTCACACCTGAACTTGATCTTCCAAAATGCATCACCTTGCATCTGTCCAGATTAAACTCCATCAGCCATTTCTCTGCCCAAATCTGCAATCTATCTGTAACCCGCTGTATACTTTGACAATCGTCCTCACTATCTGCAACTCTGCCAATTTTGGTGTCATCTGAAAACTTACTAATCAGCTCACCTACATTTCCTCCATATCATTGAAATATATATGTTACAAACAACAAAGGACCCCGCACTGATCCCTGCAGAACACCACTAGTTACTGATCTCCATTCTGAAAAGCACCCTCCCACCTTTACTCTCTGTCTTCTATGACCATGCCAGTTTTGTATCCATCTAGCCAATACACACTGGATCCCATGAGATTCTACCAACCTGCCATGAGATAAATGATCAAATGCCTTACAAAAGTCCGCATAGACAATATCCACTGTCCTTCCCTCAATCAATCATTCTTGTCACCTCCTCAAAAAACTCTATCATGTTGGTGAGACATGACTTTCCCAACGCATGCTGCCTGTCACTAACAAGTTCATTCACTTCCAAATGTGAATAAATTCTGTCTCTCAGTATCTTCTCCAACAGCTTCCCCACCACTCACATCAGGCTCACTGGCCTGTAATTACCTGGATTATCTGTTTCACTTCTTAAGCAAAGGAACAACACTGAACATTCTCCAGTCCCCTTAAACCTCACCTTAGGCCAAAGAGGATGCAAAGATTAAGGCCCCAGTTATTTACTCCCTTGCCTCCTACAGTATCTTGGGACAGATCCCATCTGGCCCTGGGGACTTGTCTACCTTAATGCATTTCAAGACACCCAACACTTCTTCCTCCATTATGTTGACCTGCTCCAGAGTGTTCACACACCCTTCTCTAATCTCAACATCCCTCATGTTCCTCTCTTTGGTGAATACTGATGTAGTCATTAAGAATCTCACCCATTTCCTCTGGCTCCACACATAGCCTCCCTCCTTTATCCTTGAGTGGGCCTACTCTTTCCAGAGCTATTCTCTTGCTCTTAATATATGTATAAAATGCCTTGGGATTCTCCTTAATCCTGCTGGCCAAGGGCATTTCATGGCATCTTTTAATCCTCCTAACTCCCCATTTGAGCTCCTTCCCACTTTCCGTATATTCTTCAAGTACTTTGTCCATTTTCAGTTGCCTAGAGCTTAGGTATGCTTTCTTTTTTTGACTAAGCTGATAATTTCCCCTGACATCCAAGGTTCCTGAATTCTGCCATTTCTGTCCTTCATTTTCACAGGAACATGTTTGTCTTGCACTCTAATTAACTGGTCTTTCAAAGATTCCCGCATGTCAGATATGGATTTATCCTCAAACAGACGCTCCCAACCCACTCTCTCCAATTCTTGCCTAATTCAGTTATATTGGTGTTTCCCCCAATTTAACACCTTCATCTGAAGTCTACTCTTGTCCTTATCCATATGTATTAAATGGCTTATGGAATTATGATCACTATTCCCAAAATACTCCCCTAATGAAACTTTGATCACCTGGCTGGGCTCATTTCCCAATACCAGGTCCAGTACGGCCCCCCTCCCTCACTGGACTATCCAAATACTGTTTCAAAGAACTCTCCTGGATACACCTACCAAATTGCTCCCCATCCAAACCCCCAGCACTAAGGAGGTCCCAGTCAATTTGGGAGATGTTAAAATCACCCACAACCACAACCCTGTTATTTTCATATCTTTCCAGAATCTGACTACATATCTCTTTCTATCTGCTGCTGGTAGCTGGGAGGTCTGTAGTACAATCTCAGCATTGTGACTGCACCCTTCCTATTCCTGAGGTCTACCCATAATGCCTCGCTACAACACAGCTGTGATATGCTCCCTAACCAGTAATGCAACTCCCCCACCTCTTTTGCTTCCTCCTCTAAGTCATCTAAAACATCAATACCCCAGAAAGTTAAGCTGTTCTTCTTTCAACCATGTCTCTGTGACAGCAACAACAACTGCATGCATTAATCCAGGCTCTAAGTTCATCCGTTTTATCTGTTATACTTCTTGCATTGAAACAAATACAGTCCAAGCCTCCAGTTTCATTGAGCTCAGCGATCTCTCCCTGTCTGCTTTTCCTCTTACCTATATTTGCCTTAGTCTCAAGTTCTTCCCCGGTCTCTATACTTATTGACGTTAAAACCCTCCCAAGTGGCACTATCAGACCTCCCTGCCAGGGTATTAGTGTTCCTACACTTTAGGTGCAACCTGGCATTCTTGTACAGGTCCCACCAAATAATGACAGATATTGCTGAACAGTCTGAGGTGGCTATGCCACAAACATTCCTGACCAGACTTGCATTTTGTACCTTTCCACAATGTACTGACATCCAGATATCTTCAGATGAACACTGTGGCCACAGACTGGTCCAAGTTTTTATTAATTCTGCATCATAAAGCCACATCACAATCTCGAGAGTGCAAATATAAAGAAAACTGCAAATGCTAGAAATATATCATAGGTCTGCCAGCATCTGACAAGAGAAACATTGGTGACCACATTGGACAGAGACCTATCATCAGAACTGAAAGTGAGACTCCTAATAGGATGGGAAGATGGATGTCAAAGGTTTGGAATAGAGTCACAGAGCCATACGCCATGGAAACAGACCCTTCAGTCCAGCTCGCCCATGCCGACCAGATATCCCAAATTAATTTAGTCCCATTTTCCAGCATTTGGCCCATTTCCCTCTAAACCCTTCCTGTTCATACACCTATCCAGATGCCTTTTAAATGTTAGAGACAACAAGGTGCAGGGCTGGATGAACACAGCAGGCCAAGCAGCATCATAGGAGCAGAGAGGTTGACGTTTCGGGCCTAGACCCTTCATCAGAAAAGCTTTTCTGATGAA